AGCATGATGAAAAGGTGATGTTAACTATCTTTACATTTAACATCAGGAGAAGGGGCAAGGGTAGCTGCCACAGAATGAAGTTTGAGGAAAGACGTATCTAAAAAGTATTTTTAGAATGGTATTGCTGTCATATGAGATGTAATCCCTCATCTACCTATCCATGAAACCTTGATCAAATTCACACTATACATAGGTAGGTTCCTTGTTAAGTACGTGTGTGCTTAATGCAATAAAAAGAAGTTATAGGTGAAAATAGAGCAACCGAGTCTCCAATGAGGTATGCAGACTGGAAGGTAAAAGGCAGGGAGACAGGTTGGAAGGTAAAACAGTTGCCTGGGTCAAGGATGAATTCTGAGGTTGTGGCCCCTGGAAAGTGGCAAAAAGGGAAGATGAGAACCAATGCCAGGTGGAAGATCTGAGGTCTGACCTTGGACACTAAATCACTATTTTCTGTTTTAGGTCTGGTTCCTTATCTTTTAATAGGACGGCAACTGTAGCACTTCCTTGCATGAGAAATACTAGGAAAGAAGAATCACATTTTCTCAGCAGTGCAAGGCTAGGGGAAGGAGGAGGAAGAGCCCCAGGTGAGGTGGGGTTTGGATGCTGACTGATGGGAGGACAGGAGGCCAGAGAGAGGAAAGTCAGTTTTAGGTTTAGGAAGCCCTCAGGGATTAGGACCTCTGGTCCTGATGTTTATTTTAACTGTGTTCATTTCCTACTGCTTCTGTAACAAATTATCAAAAAATTTAGTGGCTTAAAATAATACATATTTAATTATTTTACAGTTCCAGTCAGAAACCTAAAATAAGTTAGCAGAGCTGCATTTGCTCCTCCTGGCAGCTCTAGAGAGAACTCATTTCTTCATCTGTTCCTGCTTCCAGAGGCTGTCCATGGTCCTTGGCATGTGGCCATGCATCATTCCAGCCTCTTCTTCTGTCCTCACACCTCATTCTCAAGTTCAGATCTTCCTACTTTTCTCCTATGGAACCCTTTTAATTATCCTGGACTCACCAAGAAAGTCCAAGATAAACTCGCCATTTTAAAATCCTTTCACTTAATCACATCTGCAAAGTCCCTTATATCATGTAAATAAAGTGGCACATTCCTGGGTGTCAGACACTAGGATGGGGCATATTTGAAGAGCTATTGAATGAGTATGCAGAGGTGAGCCAAACAAAGGAAATGATATGAGAAGATGGGTGCTCAATGGAGGAGCTAAGAGAAAAGCAGAGGTCCAAGGACAAAAGCCTGAGGAACATGTTCTCTCTTGCAGTCATTCCACAAATGTATACAGAGGGCTCACTGGGCCAGCGAAGGACCAGAAGCTTGAGAGAACACAAATTCATCAAAGCAAGTATACTTTGGAGGAGCACACATACTAGAAGATGAAGACAGCCAATGAGTCACACAGGAGAGAGTCAAACAAGGTAATTCATGGAGGAAAAGACAGGAGTGATGGTGGAGGGCTTTGTGAGGTGGTAGAGAAACAAGAAGGCTCACTGGGAGAGAGAAAAAGAGATACTTGCTGGATGGAGACCGGGATCTATGAGCATGACCAGCCATGCTTGTCTCTTTAGCTAGATGAACAAAACTAAATCAGATGCTTGTACTAGATCCACTAGAACAAAAACATAATTTAAATGTCACCAAATTCAAAGACTTCCATATTGTGCCCACAACTGGTATATAACTAGACTGTTCAACCAGGAAGAAGCATTCTGAACCCCAAATATCAAATGATTAACATAGAATTTGATTTTCACAAAAGCTTGCCTGGGAACCTGTACTATTCTTCCCAGAAAAATTATATACAAAGTCAGAGAGCTCAACTCTGGATGTGTCATTCCTCTTCTCTGAGAGATGTGGGGTGTGTACACCCCGCCTTTTGGATGTACATTTGCTTTGCTGTGCTTTAGTAAATCTTTTGCTTGTGTCTTGCTTTCTACATGTCCTGAAATTCTTTTCAGGGCCATAAGTCAAGAATCCTCCCAGGTAGGGCTTGGGATGTGGCTCAAGTGGTAGCGTGCTCGCCTGGCATGCGTGCGGCCTGGGTTCAATCCTCAGCACCACATACAAATAAACATGTTGTGTCTGCCAAAAACTAAAAAAATAAATAAATATTAAAAAAGAATCCTCCCAGGCCTAGTTGAAGTCCCCACTGCCCTTTTGGAGGGACTCCTCAGACTGCCCCTCCCTCCAGTGACAGTGGCATTGGAGCTTACTAAGAGGAGCAGCAAAGAAGCTTCTAGAAGTGAAGATGAACCGAAACAGCCACTGGTATGGTTTCTGGGAGGGTCTTGGTCGTCCCTAAGACTAGGCATCCTGCCTGTTGCCTTATAAAGCTACTGACCTCAGGTAGAGGGATAAGTAGTCCCCTCCTGTGGGTGTCACTGATCACTAGACGGCCTGTTTCCTGCATGTTCAAATCTTACCACCAGGAGGAGCACAAGAGCCAAAGTGGACCCCAAGAGGYGGGGTGGTGGGGGTGTTCCATAAACAGGATGCCCCTGGGAAGGAAGTTTTCCCACTCCAGCTCCACAAAGCCTGGAAAGCCTGGCTGCCTCCTCATCTCTGACTCAAGGGCTTACCCAGATTTTCCTCTTCCACTTAAATCAAACCATATTTTTTTTCCATCTCTCCTTCCCTGGTTGTCTGCAGCACTGCCTGCAGCACTTCRGCCCAGAGACTTAGGTACCATATAATGCCAAAATGAAGGGAGACCTCCACATCTCCCAATCCAAAAGGTTCATTGTATGGATGAGACCACTGAGGCCCAGAGTCAATCATTGATCAGTCCAAAATAAACCATGGAGTTGGAACCTAGTCTAGAACTCTAGCCTACTCACTCTAGGTCCAATGCCCTTATCACATGACAAGGACACTTGATTACGTGTCACATGACAAGGACACTTGATTACATGTGTCATATGACAAGGACACTTGATTACATGTGTCATATGACAAGGACACTTGATTACATGTAATGCACTGTGGGCTGCCTCTCATTGCTCCTTGAGTGTAAATAATAATAGTAACAATAAGCAACATTTCTTGAGTGTCCAGGCCTAAGTGTGTGAACTATTTTCTTTGATACTCAGTAACCCTAAGAAATTGTTTCTATTGTTAACTGAATATTTACCAAAGCCCCAACAGTGCTTAATACAAAAGGAGGAGGGGGATACAAAGAGATTAAAAAAAAAAATTATTAGACCTGTTCCAAGAAAGGTGGACTCTGACCAGAGCAGCATAATGGGACATTGTTTTCTTCCCCGACCTGACCCCCACCCCGCCCAGTGCTCGATGCACTGTGGTACTGCAGTAGAACCATCCTCAATGGACACTGGATTCAGCTGAGTAACCCAAGTAAAGCATTACTGATGTTCCTCTGTTGGCTTTTCTCGGCATTAGGCTGAGTTAGGCTCTGCATTTCCTTCCTCATTCTCCATCCTCCCACCAGCTCACCCACAGTTAGTAGTTTCCCCAGARGAGCCAGCTGCCTGTGGTTTCTTGCTTCTGTGCCTTTGCACATACAGTTCCCAGTGCCTGGAATTCCCTCTCCACCTGTCTAACTTCCCTAAACCTCCCTGCCTTCAAAAGTCAGCTACTGTGGTGTGCCCTGCTCTGGGAAACCTCAGGCTGATTTGAGGATGTGCCCTGCACTCTTGCTGGATCCTAGGTTCCATCTCTCTTTTCCATGGGCTTGAACCTGCCTATCTATTAAGAAGTCTCTCTATTCTATGCTAACTATCCCTCAATAGTTTCATCTCATTACCCTTAGCATTTGCCACYACACATGACATATGGAAAGCTCTCAAGAAGTGTTGTTAGTGCCAGTGATGTGGTGCACACCTGTAATTCCAGCTACTCAGAAAGCTGAGACAGAAGGATTACAAGTTTGAGGCCAGGCTCCAAAACTTAGCAAGACCCTGTTACAAAATAAAAATAAAAGGGACTGAAGTTGTAGCTAGTGGTACATCAGGCCTGGGTTCAATCTCCAGTACCAAAAAAAAAAAAAAAAAAAAAAAAAAAAAAAAAAAAAAAAAAAAAAAAAAAAAAAAAAAAAAAAAAAAATG